ATAAAACATTTCTGTTAGATGCAACAGACATGACAAACCCAGATGTATACCATGCACAAAATAAAATGGCCTGAAAACAGAACAGCTTAATGGTGCAAAAGCAAAGTTTAGGCATCCTATAGTCTATTCACTCTTCATTGACTGGATAAGCACTTCATTTGGTCAAGTCCTGAGCACATTGATCAATTCTTACTGAGGCAAAACCCCACTTGAAATCCAAAGAAGGTTTCCCCCCCATCCCATCCCCCCAAAAAAGAAGAAAGAATTGAGGGCCATATTATGATCTAACTCACTATAGGCTAGTAGTAACTAGTAGAGTTACTCTGGATTTACTTTTGTGCAACTAAGACTTCCAGATTGGATCCTGAAGTAGTCATATTTTGCACAGTAGTTTGTAAAGTCGATGCAGTGAAATCAGGCCACAAATACTGAAGCATGGGACATACATTCCCATTCCAAGCTCCTACCTTTCTCTTCTCTTCCATCATCTTGTAGACCAAAATGAAATGGCCTTATTGTAAGAGAGAACCTTAGTGTGAGAAACTTTTAGCTTGCACTTCCCAGGCTATGCTCAGCTTCACTGGTTGCCACCTATGCCAGAGGCACTAGTTTTGCTCTGATACTTTTTTAAAATGATCATAAAGACAGATTTCAACACATACCAGAAAGATTAGGCCAGTAGCATAACTAAGGTGGAGTGACTGGATCATGAGACCTGGATGCTCAGTAAAAGGGGTGCTAGAATGAAGGCAGTAGGGCTCGAGGCTTGCCCATGCAGACTGGAGCTGGGGGTGGAATAAGGGGGCAGGTCACTGCAAGGACACGTAGCTGTCAACAGCCAGGTGAAACCTTCCCTGGCCCTGCAGCCGCTGCCAAATTGAGACCTTTGCATTGTTGCTCAGCCGATAAATCTGTGGCAGTTGTGAGTTCAAAGGAAGGTTAACTTGAGTATTGGTGACAACATCTCCCCTCACAGCACTTTCCTGCCCTTGCTTTGCTCCACATGGCCAGATCCTTGAGGTCCCATCTTCATTCTAGCACCCTACAGAGCAAATCCTAACAGGTATGTTTCTGCTGTCCAGGACACGACCATTACCAATTATGCCACCAGCTCAGTACACAATCTCAGGCACCAAGTGAAGATATAATTTGTAGAGAGAAAAAAAAAAATCAATCTCCCCATTTTTAGGTATGCAGACTGAGGTTTACAGAAATTCATAACTACCAATCATTCTGCATAATGCACAACTGGCAAAGAAACTGCTGCTCCCAATCTATCGGCAATAGCATTTATCTGGTTGTATATGCATAAATCAACAGCTCTGCAGGTGATTACTGTATTTGACAGCAGCAACCAATCATCTGTTAGTCAGCTACAGGAACATTAATTCTTAAGAAAATGAACCTCTCTGTCCCATATTGCATTATTTACCTTCTCTAAGGTTGCTTTTTCAGGGCTGGGATTTGTTGTTTTCTTGTGGGTTGGGTTTTTTTGGGGGGTGGGGGAGTGCTGGTTATGTTTGCATAACAATTTGGTTCTCCATTTTTAATTCATATCTTTTTGTGGATCTGGAATAAATAATTTCATGTAGTTTGTTTGTATTTTCCCAAATAACCCATCTGTCATGCCTGAACATGCTTTAGAGCTTCCCTCACACACAAAAACTGCATCTGGACATAAGACACTAATGAACGTCACCCTCCATTGCCCCCAATAACAGCCAACATAAGTTTTCTTGATAACTCTTAACTATTATTTCAAAGCCAATCTACAAAGGGAATATATATATTTTTAGGACTTCACCAAGTTTAGTTTACCAAGCTGTATCTGCTGAAATTCAATAGTGATTGAAAACAAGCCTGACTAGTCAGGAAAAGCAGCTCTGAGAATGTGTCCTTTTTCATACAAGTAAAAAAAGAAAAGCCTACCAGGAACTAGGAATATTTACCAAATGGAAGTCATGGAGATGAAGGAAGCAGCAGGCAGTTGCCAAATAGGTATGTCTGAGCTGCAGCTATTTGACCTTACCAGTTTTTAAAAGATAACTCACAGAGGCAATGCTGACAGTTGGGTGGTTGTCTGGAGGAGGGTAGACTGGCACTGAAGTGTGCCACTAGGCACTGGGAAGTCACCAAGGAACATTAAGGTCATATAGTGCATATCACTGCTCTATAAAAGAAACCATTACTTGCTCGTCAAAGTATTCCTCTCCCATGTAGACTAAAACTTGATGCTTTGAAGGAAAGGAGAAACTTTCTGGCATGAGATGTATCTTGTTTGAAATATTTGAGCCATGCAGTAAACTTTACGCTTCAGTTTGCATTTTTTAAATTCCTTGCAAGTGGATCTGGAATAAATCAACAATGGGTCAAACTGGTTCAGAAAACTGGTCAGAGCTCCATCAGGAGAGTATCATTCAGTTACTGTTCAAGAAAACAGAACTGCTGGAAAAGATGACACTGTAAACCAACAGAGACAGTGGATGAAATCTGGCCATTGAGCTGATAGTTGGCATCTCAAGTCCTTGGGGCATTTTGGATATACCTTATCAAAAACAACATCACAACGTGCCATGACACCACTTAGTGAGGCCCACAGCCCACAACAGGCCATGAAGCCAAACCTGAGAGCTTCTCAAAGGGAAATTAGAGTTCAGATAACTTGAACTAATTTGAGCCATCTAATAAAAAAGGGATTTGACAAATAAGTAAATGAAATGGGAAGCATAAAATGTTTGTTTCCAGGTATTCACTCTATGATTGGGGCCAGAAAGGGATGGTGGTGGGGAGCGGGGAGGAATGAGGAAGAGGACAGAGTTATGAAACAGAAAATGCAAGCCATCCTGGATTGTTGCTTTTCAGCTGCAGCCTCAGAATTTGTTCCCTAATTAGTTACCCACCAAGATAACCAAGGCAGAAAAACAAAATCTGACACACATCTCACATACACACACGCATGCTTTCTGTCTGCAGGTGGCTTTCATTTCTGCCCTAAAACAGTTATTTAGGCTCATACAATATCAAAGAAATGTGTAGAATAGCATGGGTGTAACTGAGAAGAATTTGATTCAATATATTTACAAGTTACTAGCAAAAAGATAGAAAGGCACTCCCCATCATGTAACAGAGAGATAAATTAGAAGAAATAGATTAAAACCATTGCTTTTAATCACATTTTCAGATATCATTGACAACACTTTAGTATGAATCTCTTCTTCCCTCCCATGTATTACCAGTTATTACAGCTTGCAGTAGAGGAGAGGGACTTTATTACTATTATTTTAAATGCTGTTTCATAGAATTAAGGAACAGATTTAGACTGACCTCAGAGCTGAGTCAACAAATTAATAGCCTAGTGATTTTACGATTCCAGCATGAAATGTGCTCATATATAACCCATAGGACTGTTGATTTTAACCTGCTTCAATGCAACCCCTCTCCTCAGAGATAACGCTTAAGTGCACGTACAAACAGGATCACTTTGTTTTAATATACATGCTACATGATAAAAAAACCAGTATAAAGCATTTACTTTTGTACCTGGTTCTAGTTATACCATGGAATTTAAAAGCAGACTAGATGCATCCATTTTAGCATTTTAAATTAGAGACGTCTAGGCTATAGTTTTATAATATGAAACAAAACAAAAAGGAAATTGATAAAGTGCAAAAAGGATTTTGTTAAAACAATGAAATATTAGGATCATGTCTAAATTTATTCAAATCAGACTTCCTATTCTGTAGAAATAGATTTTTTTGCTTTCAATATTTTTTGTTAAATACAATTGGTTTTTGTTTTCAAAATTTCAACTAAAATATGGTCACAGAAAATTGTAATAGGGTCCATCTCTCTCCCTCCCACAAATTAAAACTATTACATTTTATACTAAGCACTTCTAATATTTTAGGAATTTTCTTAACAGGTCCAGTCAAAATGCTCATTGAGATTCATGAAAAAGACAACATATTTTATGGGCTTTGTAGAAGACCCTTCTATCACTTGGGTGTCAAATCATACAATGTAAAGCTCCTTCACTCCTTAGAAAACGATTTTTAATTTCCATTTCCATGCAGTGCCTGCTGCTTGATTACAGTTCACTCCTCCTAGTTTCCTCCCTGTTCCTGCTACAGTTCTTGATAATACTAGTGGCTTGAATAATATTTTGCTAAAACAGTATGAAAATTGATATTGGCAATGACACAATACAAAGGTTTTGCAAAGGTTTCTAAAAAAAAAAAAATGCAGGCTTCTAGCCTGAGAACAATTCTACTTAAAAAAATAAAAATAAAAAGAATCAAACAAACTTTTACTGAAACCTAAGATAATCTCCTTTGTATCCGAGACCACAACGACTATTTTGAACAAAGCTATTTGCTGCGACAAATATATGATTTTTTTTGTTAATTTTCCTGTTATTTGGAAGAGCTTGAACACAATCCAGTCCAAAAATGCTGACTTTCCTAAATAGGGGCTGTGTTTTTGCAATAAAGAATACTGGTCAATATACAAGTGAAGAAAAACTGAACCAGATGTGAGTAATAGGACCACAGAACTTTGCATTTGCCCAGAATCGCTATTTTAAACACATACTAGATGTTGGTCTACTGTTTTGTGGGATAATACATTCTTGGCAGCCAAAAAGGGGTTTCAATGTTAGAAGGTTATCCTCAAAAGAAAAAGAGAAGGGAGCGCTAATTTATCAAGGGTCTCTGCTGCAGCAAAACTTTCAGACACATTCAGGGAAAGTTCAGAGAGGGCTGGCCTCAGGACAGCGAGGCTTTGCTTTTTATATTTTTTTCCTTCGCTAGTTTTCTTTCCTACTTCTAAGGTTTCATTGTGCTCTTTTTAAGGAGCTTTAGTGTCATCCTTTTATATACTCTGAATTTCTGAACGAGAAGGCTGGACAGAATTGTTGCTCTTTAATAGAGACCATCACACACACACACCCCCCCTCTCTTTA